AAAGTTGCTTCGAATGACCTCAGGAATCGCCTCATTTGCCGGAAGAACCAGAATTCTGGGACACCCTGTATTTCAACAGCTGTTTATTTAATCGAAGTATGCCCCGTTTGCTTCGATACACTTTTTCAATGCATAGAAATTTTAATGCAAGAAATTCGAGACATACTTCTACAATTATTTCTAATTAAAGAAATTCTGATCTCTAGAATCGATAAACTCTGATATGGAATTTTTCAGTCTTCTTTTTTATACTGTTTTTAGCCCGTTAAAACTGTTCCAAATTAAAGAAAAAAAGAAATGAAAGTCGGTTGGCGAGAGATCTGGCGAATAAAGTTGGACGCTGCAAGATTTCATATTTTAATTCATTACATTTCGCAATTATTTTGTACGTGAATAGACACGCTGCGCCATTTTATTAAAATAACGACGAGTTCGAATTTTTATTGTCAAATCTATTCAAAGTTCATCAAATATTTAGTGTCAAACAGGCGAGGTTGCATCGGATTTCGTTCTACGAAATGTTTATGTAAACGTGTCATTTTATAAATATATATATTTTATGAACATATTGATTTGACAGTCGTGCTGTAAAATGATCGAAGCTCGATTACAGCGTCGTCCCGAAAAACTTGGGATTCGCTGTTTCAACATTTTCTCCGAGAAGCGGTTGAGAAATGACATCACACTCCGTTAAAAAAGAAAGTGGTGAATTATTCATTGGCTAGTCTAAAATGAACCTCGCCTATATAGTGAAATTTACGTCGGAAGACGATGATTATGTAACGCTAGACGTAAGATAAAATTGTCGTGGAAAACTTAAACAAGGGACAATATTGTTTTGAAATGTGTGTAAAAAAATTTCAGTAAACGCTGCTGGAGCGACGACGAATACCTGTGTCATTTAGCAATCCCGTGTTCAATAATAAATAAAATACATTTAATATACAGATATTATGGCAGTGTGTTTTTCGTAGCATTCCCAAAACATTTCTTGTCGAACGGTATATACTTCTAATCTTTATTTTAATCTGTTCGGTGAAATTCTTCGAATTCTGTTTTCTTCTTCAGACATTTACAGCTTTCGCTGTTAACAATTTCTTAGCTTAACTGTATAATAACTAGGCTACGGATTTTACGGATCTATGAGAAAAATTATTTTATTTAAAACGGTGAACATAAACGTAAAACATAACCTTGATTATTAACCTTGACATAACCTTAACCTTGAACAGATTAAAAGTGTCTTAGAGTGTCGATGTATTAGTTATAGCTTGTTGACCTCGGTAAAGGAAAAACAAGAATATTTGAGATATATTTTGCATAGCCTAATAATATCCATAGCCTAATAATAACTGAACAATATTCGATACAGAACGCAAACTGCAAATAGCAACATGAACAATTTCTTAGCTTCATTATCATACTTCAATATTATACTGTTATTATAGCAATGTATTCTTTGTACGTATTCCAAATAATTTTACATAATAATATAAATTTAACAAAATAACAATGCTGTAAAATAAATAACTATTATACGATAACATACAAGTGAACTGAAACAGAAGAGAAATGAAAGGAAAATGTCAAATGCTTTTTTAAAAAAACAATTCCCCCTTTGAACAATTTTATTCGGCCATTCCGTGATTAATATTAAGTGCTGCTGTCTATTGTTTATTTATAAAGAACTCGGCTATAAGGAAAATGTCAAATGCTTTTCTAGAAAAACAATTCCCTTTGAACAGTTTTATTCAGTCATTCCGTGATTAATATTAAGTGCTGCTGTCTATTGTTTATTTATAAAGAACTCGGCTATAAGGAAAATGTCAAATGCTTTTCTAGAAAAACAATTCCCTTTGAACAGTTTTATTCAGTCATTCCGTGATTAATATTAAGTGCTGCTGTCTATTGTTTATTTATAAAGAAATCGTCTATATTGATTTATCGACCGAAAAATATGAAAAAGATTGCATTTGTACTGGGAAACTCATTTTCATAGAAAATGGACTTGCACTGATCTACTTTTGAACCGTTCAACATGTATACTGTCTAAATAATCACGTAATTTTGTCCCAATTCACTCGTTTCCGTAATTCGCTATTTTAATATTATTCATAAAATTATTTCACTTTCTCTTTCCCCTTCTTTTCCAAAATTCTGAGCCACTCTCTCTTGTCTTATTTTTTAGACTTAACATCGCACCAGCTACAAGTTATCTAAAATAACAATCACTACAATTCATATTCTTCCTCCCTGTCCTTCTCTGTTGCACTTTTTATACGTTTCATTTCAATAAAATCTTCGCTTCCAGCAGATTTAACTTCTGATAAAACTAAAAGTCCAATAAAACAGCAGCCGCGTAGCGTCTTTATTTTACTTCGAATGGACTGTCTCGCTCGTAATTGCACGCGTTTCAGAGCTGCGTATTAAATACAAGGTAATAATAGCTATAATAATAATAATAATAATAATAATAATAATAATAATAATAATAATAATATTAATAATATAATAATAATAATAATGAATCGCGGCCGAACGCGAGCAAAAAGTAGGCGCGAGAGACCGCGAAGTGAGAGTAGCCGTCGCGATGACGTTTCTGCCTACCTACGCCTCTTCGGCCGACTTTGCGTGCGAAGAGAGGCTCCGAAGAAAGTTCCAGTTGCCCGCGGAACTGTGACACACGATCATCCGCGAGAAGTGAGTCACTGAAGCGAGT